TTTTAATTAGTAAATTCTTTCATTACCAAAGACGCGGTATTAGGAAATGTAGTATATTTTATACTATAGACTTCATGTGAGAGTTTTAAATATAAAATCCATGTTTAAGATACTTTATTATTAATGAAAAGTAATCGATGATTATATGCTATATTTTTACGTTCATTTGATATAAAATACTTCAAAAGACAATATGACACATAATGCAAGATTACAAGAATTCATGCGAATTATGTTAGTTTATAACGTGAGAATTGAGAAAGTATGGAATTGTGAAATTGTTGACTAGTGTAATTGAAAGATTGTTCATGTGTGCAGGAATCAAATTTGGCGGGGAGAGAGAATGGAACTATTGCTGGCAGAACTATCAGAAAACTCAGGTGCCCAGCGAGAAGAGAATAATGTTACAGGCGCTAGGAGCGACGACGGACACTTGGCTGTTACAGCGCTATCTCTTACGATCGTTGAATCGAGAGATGGTGCGATCGCAAGATGTCGAGACTGTTATAGCGTCTGTCGCGACCAATTCCGAAGGTCAATTCCTTGCGTGGCGTCACCTCAAGGCGTATTGGCCTCAGATACACGCCTTATTCGGGAATGGATCACTCACGATGGGAGGACTCATATCTGTCGTGATCTCCGACTTTTTCACGGAGTACGATTACCATGAGGTAAGTTCGAACACTGTTTTATCCTGTTTAAAACTATTAATGCATAATGCGGTAATGAACACATTCAATGCATAATTTTATAACACTCAATGAATGAATAAACATAATTAAATTCTTCTAACATTGATTTCGATATTTTCATTTGAAACATGAAGACACGTTGTAATAAAAATAATTTTGTCAATTTTCAATAAAAATGAATCTAACGTTACACCAGGTTTCGGAATTCTTTAAAAACGTGGACGTTGGGAGCGGTCGACGGGCGTTAGAACAAAGCCTAGAAACAATCAAGTTCAATATACACTGGGTGAAAGAGAATGCGGACACCGTCGATCGATGGCTTATAAACTATTTGAACGTTCACACGAGTTAACCCCTCATTTATCGGGAATGGGACAAGAATGACGCGAAATTATCATGCAGTCATTCCATAACGGCTCTTACTTTTCTCATGCTGCTCGTCGATACATGATAATACATTCGAAATACGAATTGTATGTACTTTCATATAACGACGACTCGCTGTAGGAAAACGTAAGACATTTGTTACTGTCTCTCTGAATCGTTCATTTACCATTTAGATATACATATATGTATACATGTATGTATGTGCATGTAGAGGGTGTCTGATTTTCAGTTACTTTACATCATTATTATGACATGTAACAAAAATATGTAGAAGTATGATATTAATTTTTTTTTAAATCAACCTTGTCTTTTATAAATGTAGTCATCAACTATTTTTACTACATATAATAATAACGTAAATAAAAAGTG